CCCCAAAACCCCAAAACCCCAAAACCCCAAATGCCAATGTTGATAATCAATATTGAGTTAAAGCAATTTTAAATTCATTTATAGTTTTAAGTAATGGAGTCTATATCTTGTAAATAATGTTCCTTATTGTACACAGTGAACACAAGGAAGCCATTATTATTGCCATGTGGTGATACTCTCTGTTAATAATGCTATCAAAGAAGTATAATAGCCGATAAAAACAAGTTATAGTGTCCCTTTGATCTTTAAATTTACACTCTCCCCGAAAATCCTATAATAAACAAAGCTTTAATGCTAATTATCAAGCCTGAGCTCGAGATTCCTGTGTGCTGCGACTTTCATTTAGATTAAGAAGCTAGTTTTTACTGTTATTAGGATGAAATTATGATGTGTCTATAATGCAAATAAGATCATGAATAGTTTAAGATTCATAGTAGTAATCAGCATTTGCATATTAATAAAACTGAATTGGAAAACTATGCATAGAGATTAGATTTTAAACTGGTAGAATTACTAGCACATGTTACTAGAATAAAAGCAATACTAGGTGATCATATCTCTTCAAAAGTTAGAATTAGTAGCAGTGAATTTATGGGAAACATTAAACTAATTCAAGAAGTACTAAGCCCACTACATCAAGACGAGATAAAGAAGAATTAGATCATATTTTTAAGTAAGACATAGGAGATAGTTGAAACCTACTTGAAGACCTTTGATAGCGAAATTATTCCCAAACAATATAATGTTGAAGCTAAAGATCTATTAGAATAATGGCTAGGATTTAAAGCAAATTTCGAGTTATTATATAGAGGATCAAGAGATGGTTTCAGATCAGATACTTTTCATGAATACTGTGATTATCAAGGGCCAACACTTACTCTCGTAAAAAGTGAGTTTAACAAGATATTTGGGGGCTATGCCTCATTATCTTGGTCATCGAAGGAAAAATGGCAATAAGACAATTAGGCGTTCTTATTTTCAATGACCCACTAAACAAAGCATCCCTTAGTAAAGAATAAGCAGTAAGCGATGCTTTGTAACAGTAGAGGATATATGATTGTGTTTGGAGGAGGAGATTTGTAGATATTCGATGAGTGTGATAAGTAAAAGGTTAACAATTTTAGTACTTTAGGTATGTGCTATGAATTACCAAAAGGTGTGCAATTTATGGACAAGGAGGCTAGCTCTTATTTAGCTGGAGATAGATATTTTGAAGTTATTGATATTGAGGTGTACAGAGTGTCAAGAAAATGATTAATTACACTGAGTTTAACATTTTAATTTATCTGACTGAACGGGGTTTTGGGGTTTTGGGG